AGCTGAGACCTTACGGGTGTTCACATTCTTCCATCTAGTTTTCAAATATGGTAACAAAGTGCAGGTCCAATCGCACACTGCTTTAAAAGACTATAATTGAGAGGCAGTTGTTCTAAAGAAAAGTGGTTTGTTATAGGTACCAGAAACCTGGAAGATGAGGGACTCCCATCTTTTTTTAACATTTTATTTATTTATATTTAGAGGGGAAGAGAAGGAGAGAAATATTAATGTATGGTTGCTTTTTCTGCGTCCCCTGCTGGGAACTGGCCTGCAACCCAGTAGTGTGCCCTGACTGTGAATTGAACTGCAATCCTTTTGTTCACAGGCCCATGCTCAATCCACTGAGCTACACCATCCAGGGCAGGAGCTCCTATCTTAACACCCATATGAAAATCTCACTTCAGGAAGAATGGTTGGAGAAAAGAGAACAAAGAAGTCAAGGAGAGATGCTGTGGATGTGCAGGCAGTGTCCTTGCTGGTCCTGATATAAATCTTTAATGTCAGCATCCTGGAGGTGGACATGGTCAGTGCCAGCCAAATTGTTGCAGCTGGGATATCTGCATCACCCAAAATTATGGTCAAGGCCATTTCTTGTATAGCAGGCTGGAATTGCTGATGCTTGCAATATACTCTCTCTCTCTCTCTCTCTCTCTCTCTCTCTCTCTCTCTCTCTCTCTCTCACACACACACACACACACACACAGAAAAAAAATGCCTCTCAGTATGTGAGGTATTTTTGTCATTTGTTCAGTACATCTCATTGTAATTCCATTTTATGCTATGTCAGAGTAGTATAAAGGTTTTATTCCCTGCTACACTGGCACCTTGACTGTGATCATCCATCCTCCAGGCCTGTTGGACAAAAATGTTTGCTGTTTATCAGCTGTCCCATCCTTGTCATACTGTCAATGCAGCCAGAACAGTCTCACATTTGGGCTTCTGTTTGTCTTTTCCAGATTTTAGAACTGCATTACTTGTCCTGTGACCTCTTTCTGCATCTCCACAGACTGGAACATGTCACCTGGCCTTCACATCACTTGTTTCTTCTCTTGAATTCTAGTCTCCCTCTTTTTCCTTCTAAAATAAATACTTATCAGATTAGGACCCACCCAGATTGCCCTGGGAAATCTTTGGGCCTCAGGATCTCTAAATTAATCAAACATTATAAAGTCTCATTACTGTATAGAATTCACGGGTTCAAAGCATAGTTCAGACAACAACAGCCAAAATTCTTTAATGCTTGTCATCACTGTCTTTGAGACAGACCCTCTACCAGTGACCTCATCTTGTTGTTGGCAACACACAGCATCCCCATCAGCTCCCTGAATGTGTAGTTTCTCAGTGTCTCAGAGTCCAGTGATAAAAATACATTTACTCACCACTCTGCTCTGTGTTCTTAAATGCCTAGAAACTTGGGGCCAAGGGCACCAAGATCAGCATGTATGACTCCTTGCCTACAAGTTGCAGCCTGTGATCTCTGTCCCAGGTGTGCACTTGTCTCCATCCCTGGAGTGTAGACAAAACTAGATACAGACACACATTTATGCTCCATTAGTGCAAAGGGACCCTACAACTCCATGGGGCATGTCCTACTCTTCCCTGGGTTGCTTTCAAGGGAGCAGTAGTACCAGTGGAGAGGGTACAGGCCCAGACTCCAGGCTCACTGTTACCAGACGTGTCATGGACATGCCTAATGCCTGCTCGGGATTCTGTGTTCAGTTATTGAAATGCTATCATGACCACCTTCCCCAGAACACTCACCTGCACAGAGGCACAGAATTCTCTATAGGTCTCCAACCCCAGAGCTCCTTATATCATGGGTCCCCAACCTCTCTCCTCCCTGTCTGTGGGTGCTACTTGCATTACTGCCTGAACTCTGTCTCCTCTCCCCTTCCAATACATACAAAAAGTCATTTTCCATGAAACTGGTCCCTTGAACCCAAAATTGGTGAGACTGATGTCTATGTAATAGTAGAACATGAAAATAGGGACCTGTGGGTAGACACCAATCCAAAAATCTCTCCTGGCTGCCACAGATGAGAGTAAGTCTACCAAGATATGATCTGCTGGGGGAGAAATGGATGGCCAATCTCTCAGAGGAGAAGGGCCTCCAGCACCTTTTTCCCTGGGCTATTTTTAATTGAGTTTAGTTTGCAGAGGAATATAGGGTGTATATGTAAAGCTCACCAATCACTGTCAGGTAGTAATGATCAAGAAATAGATAATATTCAAAGAGCTAGAACTGCTTATCTGAGTCAGGGTCAAATAGATAGAGGGACACCAAAGGGTCATAAAACTTTGGGAAACAAACTCATGTTATGCTTGAAGCCTAAACAGCTAAAATAGATTTACCTGACAGTATTCTTAGCAAAGGAGGACTCACAGGACTTCATGAATTCTTTTTCAAGCCTTAGTGTCCCTGGAAGCTGCCTGTAATAGTAAAGGGCTGTCCTCCCTTTATCTGGCATTTATTCAGGCTTGAGTCAGACCAAAGAAACAAAGTAGTGGAAGGTGCTGGTAGTGGAATGAGGACTCAGGCCAGAATAACAAAGCGAAGGGGTGAAGGTCCCTCACCCCTTTTTTATAGTCTCCTAAGTCCTTCCCTGATGGTTTCTTCATGACTGTGTCTATCTTAGGTTCTTGCTCCCTTGAAGAATCTTACCCATCATTAGCTAAGCAGTCATCCACCTGCAACAAGCAGGGGCTTATAAGAGAGGGCATATGTTTTTGTCTCCTTAGTGGCTTATATCCCTAAGGTCTTTTACTCAGCCTTAGCCATTGGGGGTTACAGCTTCTGCAACTAGGCAGGGATGTTCCCAGTGGGGACCCTCTGCTCACTGAAAGTAGCTCAGCCCCAACCCTGTAGCTCTAGGTCTGTAGCCTACCCCAAGATTTTCAGCTGTTGCCAGTCCCTGTTCAGGACAGAATACAGAATCACCATGGAGTTTGAACTCAGGTGGGTTTTCCTTGTTGCTATTTTAATATGTAGTTTATGGAGTACAAGAGACACTGAGTATATGAGCAGATATGGCTGAGGGAAAAACAGATGGGTGCCAGTTACCTAATATGATGTCTGTGTTTGCAAGTGTCTTGTATGAGATGAAGCTGGTGGAGTCTAGTGGAGGCTTCATGCATCCTGGGGGGTCTTGACACTGTCATGTGTGGCCTCTGGATTCACCTTCAGTAGCTCCCATAAGCACTGGGAAGGTGCCGGAGTAGGTTTGTAGAATGAATACAATGAAAATATCGCATCTTAAACCAATGCTGCGAACGGCTGATTCACATTCTCTAGAGAAAATGGCAAGAACACCCTGATTCTGCAAATGAGCAGCCTGAGAGCCAAGGTCAGGGCCATGTGTTACTGTGCATGAGTCATTGTGACAGAAAGTCAATGTGAACCTGGACGCTAATCTTACTGAAGGAAACAGGAGGGCAAGGTTCTTCTCAGGACTCAGGACACCAAGGGGATCTCAGGAACCCAGAGCAAAGAAATTAGCCACAGGGGTATGAGAAGGCCTGGTGTGGGGAGCAGGGATTTCATCTCAAAGCTCTCAGCCACATCCAGGGACATTTGTTTTTTCTATGTGGCTCTGATTTGCCTGTGTGGCTGTCAGTGCAGACAACAAAGGAAGAAGTGATATTGTCTATTTGCAGATGAGGTTCTACCCTGTGCCTGGGGACCTTTCTTTCCCAACATCCCCAGTTGTCCTTTTTCTCCCTTGGCAATGAACCAACTTAAGAGCTCTTTTCTTCCCCATGGTTGGAAATGTTTCCCACAGAGAGGGATCCAGCTCTGCCCAGACCCCTGTGTGCTGAGCTCCAGTCTTCCAATATGCACACAATGTCCTCACATGTTTCCTTCCTTCTGACAGTTACAATGGGGTGGCCCCACTGCAATTGTGAGCATCCTGCAGGACCTCCACCCCTCAGGTCTCTGTCCTCTCTGCCACATGCTACTGTGCATTGACTCTCTATTACCCCCACATGATTAGTTATAGGTGAAAAGGCTAAATTATGTGTGCCAACTTCACCCACTAATGTTCCCTGAATGTGTCTGTCCATCGTGGAATCCCTAGTTCTTACATTTGTGGAAATTTTTAGCTCTTAAATTTCATAGGCTGTCCCTATGTTGAATGAAGGGCATATGAAATTTTAAATGTTAATGAAACATTTACTTTTATTAGTTTTGCATCATATTGTAAAATACTATTTTGTTGGAAACTCTTTAGATACCGAAAGTTCACCAGACCTTCAGGCCTGTTTTGAAGATGGTGTCTGGCACTCACCTGGCTCATCCTGTACATGCTCTGCCCTTTTCTGAAAGGTGCAGATGAGGAATAGGGGCATGACCAGGTATGGGCTCCCTTGGAGGGATTGACAGCCACACTGCTTCCTTTGGGGCTGAATGTTACCAAAAGGATTATAGCCTCAGCCTGGGGGAGTGTGCTGTCTAGGGTGGCACTGGTATCACTAGGCAGTCAGTGGGCCACACTCTCACCCCACCACCCACAGGCAGGCCAAGGGGGAGCATGCCAGGTTGGTTGGGAGGAGCACACCATCACTCTGAACCTGAATTGTCAGAGAAGAGGCTCCCTACAGACAGCTACAGACTGAGGAAGGCCTCAGTCTTCAGGAGCAGGACTGCAGTGACCTGTCAGAAAGTGGCCCAGAATAAATCTGTGGCAATAGTCCTGGGTCTTAGCATTAGTGGCCACAGGTTCAGACCAGCTGCAGAGCAGGTCTCCTCCCCAGGCTGGAGTTTCAGGCCCAAAGAGGGTACTGAAATGCTCACAAGATGTGTACAGACACCATCGTGGTTTTCAAGGTTTATTTTGGAGAGCTGGTGGGAAAATGCCCTCTCCTCTCACTCCCCTGTGAAGTACAGCAGGACCCCTGTGCACATGGAGAAATGTGGACCTTGGCTCCACAGCTGGTTGTGGTGACTTTTCACAGATGTTTCTTCTATGTTGCCTATACTTGCATAGGGGTCAGAAAGCTGCTTAGTTTTCATCTGTCAATTCCTTGACTACAGTGGTCTTGATGATTTTCACATTGGTGGCCACTCCAAAAAGGAGAGCAGCTATGAAGGCATACATGTGCCCAAAGACCACCCTCAAGTACACCACAGACATATCACTTTGCCTCACTGACCTCATTGTTCTTGGAAGGGGTCCACTGTCGACACTCCCTCCAGCACCTTTGTGGATGCACTGGGGAGGGTCCCAGCCTACATGGAAGTGACAGTTCCTTTTACTGTTGCAAATTCCCCTGAGGTTGTATTTGGAAGGGTAGCAGTCATAGTTTATGGCAGCCACAGAACCATTGCATACACCGTTGTCACAGAAATGCCTACCACCACAGGGTGTACCAGGTCTCACATGACCAACATCAGTTGCATATGATCCAAGGCATAAATCCACTCCAAAACAAAAGGACCCCTGTATTACAGACTGATGGAATTCAACGTGTTCTTGCAACCTAAGCAGATGTGTGACATTGGTACACTTTAGGGGTCCATATTGAATGTCAGCACCAGCACAAAGCACTAAGCTGGAGTGACTATTACCTGTACACTGTTCAAATTGGTCTCCCTTTTTATTTATGAGGTAGCAGGCATCTGGGCCATTCACTGAGCCTTCACCAAAGATCTTGCAGTGCACACTGGGGTCAGTACAATTTCCATAATAGCAGTAGCATCTTCACTACACGGGGTTCCATCTTGCAGATAAACATCTTCAGGGCATGTGAAGGTCCGCCCAAGACAGTACTCTGGAAGGTCACATATGTTCTGGATTGGTCTGCAGAATGTCCCCAGAAATGAGCAGGTGCAGTTTGTGCAATACCTGCCTGTGTTACAAGCACTTCCAGGTGTAAAGCTGCAGTTACTTGTGCAGCATGGGTTGCTGGAACACTGCCTGAAGGAGCCATAGTCACACTGCTCTCCATCATCCACCACAGAGTTTTAACATAGACCCATTGTCAGGCTTCTACTGAAAGATGGATAGTTCCTGTCCAAAGTACAGTGATTCTTAGTATACATCATCAGTTCTGCTGCATACACCATAAAACAGTTGCTGAAGGCATCTGTATCAGAGGGTACCTGTCCATGCTGCAAGTGGCTCCTCTCTGGCAGATACAAAATTCTGAATTATAAAGCAGACTAAAACTTCTCCCAATAAATTAGGTGACTATAATTAATAACAAAAGATAATGTCTCAACATAACACCCAGCATGAGGAGACTTGTTTCTTGGCATCGATAATCTTTGGAGAAAAATTAAGTTCCTAGGGTCCATTAATAAGCATAATCAAGCTTGTATGTTGCTTAAGAGGATAAAAAATGTTGTGTACAAAATGGGTATGAAACGGACTCTCTGGCACATCATAGTTGTTCATGGACATTGGATTTCTCATGTTATAAGGGACTAGGGCGCTGATGTAGTACCTCATATTAATACCTTGGAACATAGACTCAATTAAACTACCTAGGCTTACCAGAAATTTGGCACATGCTGACAGATTGTTGTATTGCCTATAAACTGAATTGGCACTCATAAGACATCTTTCAAATTGTCCAACGTGGCTTGCATACATCTTACTGCTGATTCTGGATACTCCATTGGTGTTCACTCGAGAGAACAGGGAGTACCTCTTTTCTTTATACCTCAGTGTATACGTGGGTCCCATGGCATTAGTGCCTGTCACTATCTGAGAAACTACGTGTTCAAACCTTTGGGAATCCTTGGGGGGTTGGATTTCATACACAAGGTCCAACTTCATCATACCTATAAGGGTCCCATAGCAGGTATCTATGGTGACTGTAGAGAGAGGAACCTCCTCCAGTTAGCCAAAGTACTAACAGTCAAGAGGTAATCCACCTGCAAGACTCCCTGGTCATCCTGAGGCATCATCGCCAGATGTCGGGGCCAAAATAGTTTCTTGCGCCGCATGTAGATGACATGTTTCTGGCCCCCAAAACTCAGGCTGTAGGAGAGCCACCCTGGTGTTTGAATACCTTTGCCATGGTGCAGCTCCTTCCTTGTAATCACCACCTCAGAGGAGATATGAGGGACGCCCTTGAGAATGCTGTGCTGGAGCCAGCAACATCCAGAGCCCAAGGAGCAAGAGGGGCATCCTCAGGGTGACTGAACCCTCTGCCCACCTCACGTCTCCACTCAGGGACAACTGTCAGTGGGAATGGAGAAAGGGAGGATCCTCAAAAAATCCAGGTCCCAAACATCTGCCAAGGTCATTAAAGAGATAATGACAGAAAATCTACAGAGGGAGGGTCCACTGAGAGGACTAGGTAACAGTGACAGGGTGTGGCAGAGGGAGGGGCTGCACATGAAGTCATCTGGGAAGTCAGTATGAGTGCAGACACAAACCTCCCTGAGGGAGACAGGAGGGCTGGGCTGAAGGAGGAGCTCAGGGCACCAGAGGTGCTCAAGAACACCAGGAGATAGAGAACAGTGTCCCTTGGGGGTGTTCAGGAGCACAAGGAACATCAGTGTCACCAGGGAGCTCTCTGGACACCAGGAGATATCAGTGTCACTAAATGGAGGGGCCAGCTCAGAAGCTGGTTCCTAGAGTGATTGCAGAAGGGCTTCCTTTTGTGGTCAATGGCTTCTACCCCTCTTATTGCCTCCTGAGGCAACTTCTGCTTTCTTCAATGTATTTTGAATTTCTTACATTCTCCACAGGCAAGAACATAGGAAGTAACTGTAGTTGCCTTCTCATCAGGGCCTTATTGTCACCCTGCTTTACCTGGCTGATTAAAACACATGTTAGGAATTCTCACTGTGCCCTGACTGAGGAGGATTCTCCCACTCTCCAGTGCAGTTATGAGGCAGTGATTCTGAATCTATGTGCTGAGTCACAGTCTGCTCTTCACATAGTGCAGACCATCTCACGTTAGAATGGTCAGTCCCATGCTTTCTGTCCTGTGAGGATCCCTGTTCTCTTTGGGGGCAGTGAGCCACTTGCCTCTCCCCAACATGGCTAGATTTTGATGCTTAGGAATCAACCCCTTCTGTCACTGCCATTAGTGTCGTGGATGGAAAAACACTGAGTATCTGAACAGAACCTGCTCTTTGTGTATCCGTAAGACAGAGGCAGAAGGCAAGCACAGAGACGGAACCCTGTCACAAGGCTGCCAGGAAGATTTTTGAGCGTGTCTCTGAATGTGGTCCTGGAGGATGAGACCTAGAAGGGTCTCAGCCTCACGTGCAGAACCCATGTGAAACACTAGTGCAGATGAACATGGACCTGATCCCCACCCATTCTTTCTTGTTCATCCAGGATCCCCAGAAACCCACCTCATCATCACCTCCTATACTCTACTCTCCATACACTCACTAAATCTAGGCATGAAGCTCCATGTGGCTGGATTTTTTTTCTCTCCTTTCCAGCCCTGGTACATTTTGTCTTGAAAACAAGCCCCCTTGTTCCCTCACGTCCATCTCCTATGTCCATTTCTCAATGAGTACCCAGGGTCAGTTATACTCAGGTAACCTGAAGCTCACATGAGCCACCCTCTGAGTCCATGATCAGTGCACACATATTTCTAGATTACTCAGACTCTACTGCAGAGAAGAGTTGTGTCAGGTAGAGACAGAGATGATTAGTGACCTCAAAGCACTTGCAGCAACTCACACATGTGCCAAGAGAAACTCTACGTGGTCCCCTGATCTGAAAATCAACATGTTGGGCAAGTCCATGAGCAGCTGCAGTCAGGAAGCAGTCAAAGAAAATCTGGGTGGCGTGTGACCAGTACCGGGAGTATTTCCTAACAGATATTCACCTTTGAGAGGTTAAAGTTTGTGGTCATGTCCTTCATGTCAGTGTCCAACCCCAGAGCTTCCTGTACAGTAGGAGGACATGCAAATAGAACCACTCGGCTCACAAAAATCACCCCAGTCCCAACCCTGCAGCTCTGAGACAAAACCCAGCTGGGGATTCCCAGCTGTTGCCAGTCCCTGCTCAGGACAGAACACAAACCACTCACCCTGGCGTCTGGGATGAGCTTGGTTTTTCTTGTTGCATTTTTAAGATGTAATTTATGAAGAATTAGAGACACTGAGTATGTGAGTGGATATGACTGAGATAAACAGTAGACAGGTGACAGCTTCCAAACCAACATCCTTGTGTTTGCAGGTGTCCAGGGTGATGTGCAGCTGGTGGAGTCTGGGGTAGGCTTGGTGCATCCTGGATAGTCTCTGAGAGTTGTTTCCTTGGCCTTTGAATTTATCTTCATTAAATGCTATATGAACTGTTTTGCTAGGCTCTCGGAAAGAGTCTTGAGTGGGTCTCATACATTAATAGTAATGCTAGTACTACATATTATGCCAACACTGTGAATGGCCTAGTCACCATACCAAGAGACAAAGTAAAGAACGAGCTCTACCTGCAAACAAACAGCTTGAGAGCTGAGAACAGAGCCATGCATTACTGTGCAAGAGACACTGAGAGGAGAAGTCAGTGGGAGCCCAGACAGAAACCTTTCGGCAGGAAGGGCTGTGATCACCAGGGAATGAACTACACCCCAGGCAGCAGTGATTGATCTTGCAATTGATTTTTCTCCATCATGATCTTGGACGAAAAACAACTGCAATGTGCCTTCGTTTGGGAAACTTTGTGACACCCATTCCTCTAACAATAGAGATTTATTTAACTCATCAGATCACTGTGAACATTGGCTTAGAAGGATGTTCTCTTGATGCAGTTCCCAAGTGTGGTAATAGATGATAATGACAAGATTAATATAGAGGATATATATACAGGAAGCAGAGAAGGGGCTGGAGTGGGTCTCCTGAATGAATTTTGATGGAAGTACCATACACTATATCACCTCTATGGAAAGATGATTCACCATCTCCAGGAACAATGGCAAGAACACACTGTACCTAGAAATGAACAGCCCCAGAGCTCAGAACACAACCCTGTATGACTGTACAACAGACACAGTGAAGGGAAATCAGCATACACAGTCACAAATCTCTCTGAAGAGAGGCTGTGACAACCAGTAATTGTTCTCAGTCCCTGAACACAAGGGCCATTTCAGGAGAATGTGCAGTATGATGTTTGGTCTGGTTTCCTGTGTGGATTCCTCTTCTTGTAATAGTTTCCTTCAGAAAACCTCTTGGGATTTATGATTCTGTGCAAACTTTTGAAGTCTCTGATTTAGAAATGACTGTTATAAAGACAGCAATCTCCCATGTCTCTTTCAGGAACTCTTGTTCCCAATTCCAGTGAATCATCAAATCTTCTGACCCACATCAGCTGGATATAACCAGAAGTTCTGCTGGACCCAACAGTGAAGACTAGTCTTACATAGCTCAGCGTCCAAACCTGCCAGAAGCAGGACACATGCATGCTGGACAGCAGGCACAGAAGACATATGACCCCAACACAAGAGGAGAAGGATGTCCGGTAGTGATGATCATTGACCTGGCATCATGGTCACAGCAGATGACACTACACAGAGGCAGAGCGACCCACTGCAGCATGGTATGGATGTTCATGCTGAGAACAAGCAGGCACACCAAGGGGACATGTAGCATTTATCCCTCACATAGTTGAAATCTCTGGGAGGGATAGGAAAGACAAGTCCTATCCCTTCAGCAAGTCATATGGGCCTTGACAGAGCCAGGAAAGGAGATGCACTCAGGGCTTTTGCATTTTTTGAAGGTGGTGGTGGAGGGGAAATTCATTGTATGGGGGCCTGTGTGGTTTCAATCTCCCAATGATATCTAAAGTAGAAACTCAGCATCTTTTATCAGATTTCCTGTGTGGGGCAGATAGAGAAGAGGATGGAAGAGTCTTCATTTGTAAGCAGTTAAATGTAAAATAAAATAGAGTCTGTCTACAAATTCCACACAGCAAATATAAAAAGTAAGCAAGGAAAAAGATAAGTGGTCACTGTGTGGGGAAACCTGCCACTCCTACAGAAAATGGGAAGAACAATTGTAAGTAATCAAATTATGACTATGATGGTGGTGGTGATGGCAGTGGAGGTGGTGATGATGACAGAATTGGATAGGGGTCTTTTCCCAACATGTTAGATGGAAACTGTTCCCTGTACAGGGTGATCCACTCTCTGGAAGGCCTTGGGACAACTTACAGGTGGAGTCTTTGTGATTTAATCTCCCAGTGTCATATTAAGAGGAAGCACCTGATTTCTTTTCCCATAAAGAGTCATATTGTGTGGACAACCACCATGCATACAGAAAATAATAATGATTACAAGTAAGCAAATGATAATAATGACAGTGATAATGGTGGTGATTATGGTGATTATCGTGATGGTTATTTTGATGATGGTAATGAAGGCTATGGTGATGATGATGTTGAACTGAAATAGGGCTCTTTGTGCAATGAAATTATTGCTCCTCATACTGACACATTATGTTTAGGGATCCACCAGTCAGGGGTGTCCTCTCTATTCCCTATAAATGCTGAGAAATTTAATAAGTGGAGCCCCAGTGAACTATTCTACTTGGGTTATTCATGTGTGAAGTCAAAAGTAAGAACTCAAAGATGTCCTGTTCCACTCCTATCCAGAGCTTGTGGCATTGTCAGTCAATATAACAGAGACACTGTGAAAATGTGAATGTGGGTAATGACGAACTTTCCAAGAACACGTTTCTTACTTGTATTGAGTTCTACCTGCAGAATCTTAAGTAGTTTTATTTTTGACACACTCCTCTTTATAATTATTTAGGTATTCTCTAAAATGTTTTAATCTGTCTCTATCAGGCCTTGCACTTACTTCTGAATTCATAATTTAAAAGTCTTTAAACCCATAGGTTTAGTAATACTCTGTTCATAAAAATAAGCATATTTCTAGATGTGATTCAGACTAATTCCAGCATCCTCCCCTTGCCCAGTCCCAAAGTCACCTCCAGGTTTGTGGGTAAAATTTTCAGCTTCTCTCTATTCCTGGTATCAGAGCACATCCCAGTCCCTGTGGCTGCTATAAGCAATGAACATGAACAATGGAAGCTGACCATTTTTCTAGGGAGTATTTTGACTGTAAAATCACCCAGTAAAAGACCCATTAAATAAAATAGTAATTAATTGACATTGATCAAAATTAAAAAATATTTATATGCCCAAACAACACAACTGAAATCTATCAGTGGCATTAAAAGACATGCCTGGACAGAAATAATGTATTTGCAACATATATGTCTGATGAAAAAAGTGTTTATTACTCATTAAAAATGTTATATCCGATGTGGGAGAAATCATGACCTTCTGACCCTAGTGACCTTCCCCAGAAACAGCAATGGGGAGGTTGAGAGTGACGTGTTTCTGTCAGGGTTGAAGTTACCTTTCCTGTGATCAAATTTGTGATAGGAATTCTCTTCATTTCCCTCCTTTGAATGTTAACATCACTGACAACACTAGACTGAGAAAACAGGTAAATAAATCTGCTACTTTAATCATTTAGCATTTGAAGATACTGAATTATAGGCTTTCATACTTATGCTATTTATTGACAATCTTTTTTTCAGGTATACATGTGACTATTTCTGATGTGATTAATTTGGAATCTCTGCATGTGCTCTGCATTTGCATAAGGTAAGAGTTCCCACAGGGAGCTGTCAATACCATCACAAACCTTGCAACATCAAGAATCAAGAATGTCCCAGCAGCCTGACCTTGGGTGGTAGTTACTCAGATGAAAATTCCAACAAATGTAGAAAATGTTATATTGCAAATGGTGGTACACTTTTTGTGTTATACTTCAATCTAGAAATTATGTGATCATTAAATTGCAATGTAAAAATTTAGATATCGTGGATATACTAGACTGTTAGGATTCAGAAAGTATGAAAAATGCTAATAAAACTTTTAAATTTCATTTGAAACATGCATGAGAATTTGAAAGTGTCATGAACTTATCTAGTTTACAATTTTATGTTTTTTAACTTAAATTATTTTTTATTGTTATTCTACTACCATTGTCCAAATTTTCCCCTTTGCCCTCCTCACCCGACCTACCTGCTGCTCCCACAGTTAACTATTACACTGTTGTCCATGTCTATGAGTCATTCATACATGTTTTTTGTCTAGTTATTCCTCCTGCTTTCCACCATTACCCCTTCTCCCCTTGCCCCCAGTCAGTTTGTTCCATGTTTCCATGTCTGGGGTTCTATTCTGTTCATTAGTTTGCATTGTTCATTAGATTCTGCTTATAAATGATATCATGTAGTATTTCTCGTTCACTGACTGACTTGTTTCACTTACCCTGATATTCTCGAGTTCCAATAATACTGTCACAAAAGATAGTGGTTCTTTCTTTCTTTGTGCTGCATGGTATTCCCTTATGTCAATGTACCAGTTTTGCTGATCACTTGTTAATAATGAGCAGTTAGATTGTTTCCAGCTCTTGGCTGTTGTGAATAAAGGCACTATGAATGTAGGGGTGCATAGGTTCTTTTGAACAGGTGATTTGGGCTCTTAGGGCATATTCCCAGCCATGGAATTGCTGAGTCAAAAGGCAGTTCTATTTTTAGTTTTTAAAGAAAGTTCTATACTGTTTTCCACAGTGGCTGCACCAGTCTCCATTCCCACCAACAGTGCACTAGGGTTCCATTTTCTCCACATCCTCCTCAGCACTTGTTTGTTGATTTGTTAATAATGACCATTCTGACTGGTGTGAGAGGATATCTCATTGTGGTTTTAATTTGCATCTCTCAGATGGCTAGTGATGTGGGCATCCTTTCATATGTCTATGGGTCACTTGCATGTCCTTTTTGGGTAAGTGTCTATTCATATCCTTAGCCAATTCTTAATTGGATTTTTGTCTTTCTGGTGTTGAGTTGTATGTGTTCTTTATATATTTTGGAGATCAAACTCTTGCGTAATGTAACATTTACAAATACATTCTGCCATGCAGTCAGTTTCCTTTTCAGTTTAATGATGGTTTCTCTAGCAGTGTGGAAGCTTTTTAGTTTGATGTGGTCCCATTTGTTTTTTATTTGCCCTTGCTCTAGAGGATATATCGACAAAAATATTGCTACATGGGATATCTGAAATTTTCCTGCCTGTTTTCTTCTAGGATTTCTAGGGTGTCACAACTTATATTTAAATCTTTGACTCATTTTTAGTTTATTCTGGTTTATGGTGTAAGTTGGTGGTCTACTTTCATCCTTTCAGTCCAGTTCTCCCAACACCATTTATTGAAGACTATCTTAAC